ACACACTGACGGTAACAGACACACTGACACACAATAAGGAACACTGACGGTAACACACACACTGACACACAATAAGGAACACTGACAGTAACACACACACTGCCGGTAACACACACACTGATGGTAACACACTCTTCTCTTCCTCCTCCTTTCTCGTGAGGACTGTCTCGATTGCTACCGATTCCTGATCTACAGAAGTGAGGCCGTTCAGGTCAGGACCACAATCACACACACACACACACAACCCCAGCCCCGCCGCCATCGCCCCTCTCACCCGCGACGCCCAGCAGTGTGATCCAGCGCGCCATGACCGTGGCTCACGGGCAGAGTGCAGAGTGTGCCTCCTCTGGTCTGGCAGCGCCTCCTCTCTCTCCTCTCCACTCCCCCTCTTCCTCTTCTCTCCTCCCCCCGGGTCAGGAAGGGTGGGCTCTGTGCTCGCCTGTGACCGTCTGCACACAGGAACCCTGCTCCCACACCCAGCTACACACCACTGCACCCCGACACAGCCCAGCCTTCTCACACCACACACACACACTAACACAGCCCAGCCTTCTCATACTTACACAGACACACAGACACACACCCTCACACACAAAGACACACAGAGCACCACATACACAGTTTTGAAACATTTCTGCGTTTATTATAAAACTGTAACAGGATTACAGCGTACCTCTGTCCTCAGTATACATACAAGAGTGCGCTCCGAAGCGATCACACAGTACAGCCTGCAGCCCAGGGCTGCTCTCTCGCGCTCTCTATATATATCCCTTTGTATACATACAGGAAATGCATAGATCCGGAGAGCAGAAAGACCTGCAGTTTCACACCTCTGAGATGCAAATCCTAAAAATGAATCATTAAAAGTCTAAGATGCATTATAAAAACAATGGCTGGAACCCGGGCATTTTAGCACAGAAAGCCCAGGGTTCGAGAAGCAGAGAAAAACAGCAGTAAGGTGGAAGAGCAGTGTGTGTGTGGGGGCTGAGTTTGTGCCAGACACAGACACCCAACAACAGACAACAACCACACACAGACACCCAACAACAGACAACAACCACACACAGACAACAACAGACAACAACCACACACAGACACCCAACAGACACAATAACAGACAACAACCACACACAGACACCCAACAGACACAATAACAGACAACAAACACACACAGACACCCAACAGACACACAATAACAGACAACAAACACACACAGACACCCAACAGACACCAGACACACACAGCAAGCAGATCCACAGGGAGCCTGACACAGAGGCACACAGAGAGCCCGTGTACAGAACTGGGTTTTGTTTTTCTCCTTCTTAAAGAAACGTTAAAAGACGTGTTGAATGAGCTACGCTGTTAAGAGTGACACACAGGAGAGAGGACGCAGAGCAGAACCGCCATCACTGCTCCTCCCTGTCGACACGTCTCTGGAGAGCAGGCAGGACACACCAACCACAGAGACAGAAACCGTTACAGGAGAGCTGTCTGCTCGGATCCGCTTCAAGAGCTCTGAACAGGTTTTACAGGCTTGAGCAAAGACAGCTCTGCTCTGTCAGAGTCAGTGAGTCTGATTATAATCCCAGTGAATCACT